TGTAAATAACAGTCAGTACAAATTTTATATCATTCCTTATAAACTATACTTGTTAATATGTATGTATGTGCTCAAATAGAAACACATTTGTKTACATATATACATATATGTATTCACTTGTGTAGCCTAACAAACTTTTACGAACAACTTTCAAAATACTTATGTTGTGAATTTGTCAGTTGCATTACGCACAGTCTAGTGGTTACGCGGCAAAATAAAAATACTAAATATGAATAGTATTAAATTCTCGCTAGTTTTTTACGTTTCAATTCTTTTACACCAAAACTATAGCACAGCTTGGATTTTACCTATGCTAAGGCGCAATGAACTTTCAAATGAGAAAAGTGCGGAAAATCTACAAGGGAACGTTACAGCAGAAGATTTCAAAGAAGTTATAGGCATACAAATTGTTAAATTTACACGTCAAGATTTAGTAATGAAATTTTTCGATTTCGACATGGAGTTAGCACGTAAATTTGCCTACAAGCAATGGCAAAAGTTGCTCAGTGTTTATGAACCGGCACCAAATTTGCAAGTGATGGAAGTTACCGTGCGAGTGCCAGTGCGCGAACCACAAGAAACAAGCGAAAAGCCAGAAAGAAGGTTAATGAAATCAATTAAACCAGCGAGACGTGAATATGATGAGGATGGACCACAACAAGTAGMACTGGCATTGCAGGATTTGAAGGGTCCTCAGGTTATACATAAAGGATTAAAATAGTTCTTATTTKAAATTAAACTTTCTTATAAGTGTGTACATATTTTTTAATGTATGTTTGCAAGTAATTTATGTACATATATTTGGGATGACATTAAAATGTATTATGTTCATATAATGCTTATTTGAAAGTGTATGTATGCATCTAAAAAAARTTCTTGATTTAGATATTACCTCAATTATTTATAATGCTAGAGAGTGTCTTTTTGTWTGTTTTGCCGTTATTTCCGTACATCCCTCACTGGCTTCCGTACTTTCCGCGCGGGCTTGCGTACTTCCGTCACAGACTGCCGTATCCGCCTCCGTGTACTCTTCCACACAATTATGTGTTACCTTTCCAATTGCAGCACCAATTTCAAGTGCTAAATTATCAAACGCATATTCACCAAATGAACTTGAACGCTTCCACGCTGTATCCGTGCTCCATACTTGATCGTGTTTATGTGCGCCGTGCTCACTACTAAAGCGATACCGATTTGGTGTTCGTGGCGTTGTTACGCTATTCCGCCAATAGCGATACAAGTCGCCGCCAGGCATGCCACCAGCATCTTCTGGATCAGTATCCCAGTTGCCATTTGTACCAGCACTAACAGCATCAATGCGCCCGTCCACTGTTGCATTTTCGCAACCATATTCTATCAAATCGTTCTCTGCTGGCGACCTTGTGGTATGATGTGTAGTGCAACAAAAACACCGCGAACGGCGTAGACAACGACAACAAAGTATGTTGCAGCAAAAATCGGATGCTGCGCGTAAACATTCAAAGAATTCAGGCATAAAGCAWGGATTGATTACAGCATAGACAAGTATATTTGTACTAAGCTGTAGCGCATTCAAGGTTAAACAAATCATATCCAGSTTTGCCATCAAGCCGAAATTTACACGAGATACGTCGCCACCAAAAATTAAATTTAGTGCATTTTTACGTGAAGTAAGCGCTGCGGGCAACTCACCAATCATGTACAGTATAATTAAAATTATAATTGTTACAGTTAGTTTGAGCTGATGCTGCGTAACGAAAGGAAACGGAAGGAAAAAATTAARTWGGAAAATTTGATACAAGTTTTATTTCCGTTGTAACACTTAATACCTACATGATAACGCTTTTTTGCCGTTTTTGCATTATTATTTCCACATCGCTCAAATTTTTTGCTCTGTTTGGTCCAACGTCGAAAAGCTACAATTATGGCTATATTGCCGATCATGAGGAATATAGCTGGTAGCACTGTCAACAGTGTGAAAGAACACCAGTTGTGTATTTTGTAATAACTGAAAAATGAAGCAAGTTAAATTAAAAAGAAAACAAAAAAAAAATTAAAATTGGGAACTAAATAGATAGAAGAAAATGAGGTTTACACTGTCAATATATTGTGTTGTGCCTTTCCYTCTGTCACAACGAATAACATAAGCCCAACACACTAATAAATGCCAGTATTCTGCTGTGTGTTATTGGGGCTAGTTAGAAGTTAGATAAATCTTTCTATATACATRCATACGTATAATTACACATATTATTTACATGGGCATTTTCACAAATATCTATATATATTTGCTAAAACGTTTGACGCTGCATTGATTTTATAAGCGATAAATTATGTGATAATCGTCAGCAATGACGTGTTTATCATCTAATTTAATTATAGTTTTTTATAACTCCACTTCAATCAGCACAACAACAAAAGGCAATTGCAAATATTTACGTGTAGCAGAAGCGAATGTACGAAAATACATCAACACATACATATACACCCTTAAGAAAGCTGTTAAACAAATGTCAACCGTTTTCTTTTGATTTGGTGTCAAATTGAAAATTCACTCGCCTTACTTACATGGTATAGTATAATTTGTGTGTTACAAAAGTACCGTCGTCATTTACCACGAAAATTAAAAAATAAGGCATATTTAGAATCACCGAAATAATAATAACTATAACAATAATACGCCGTGCAATTTTGCGCCGACAAAAACGCGGTGGCCCACAACCATTGAAGATGCCGTAATTTAAGTAAATCCAACGGTCACAACTAACGCTGCCAASTAAAAGATTCGCCGCACCGGTGCTGATGCCAAATAACGGTGTTTGCCATTGAAAATCGTACGCCGTCCAGAAATGGCTGTGGAAGAAAATACTGCGCGAGAGTGCGGTAAATAAAATGAGCAAGCAGGAGAAACAATCCAGCCAAGCGAGCGCAGCGAGATAGGAAAAAGCCGATGGCGTCATATTAGGACGCATAAAAACTATAGCATTAATGAAATTTGCACATAAACCGAAACCTGAGAATATGGGCACGATAAAAGCGTAAATCACATATGCCGTCACAGTCGGTTCAGCACGTTGCCAAACACATTTTTCGACCGAAATGTATAAATCCGGTGTTTCGACTTCAATATTGTTCAACGTCAATATGAATTCCGTTGCATTTTCGATGTCATAGTTAATACCAACAATGCATTGCATACTTTGCTGAGCATATAAAATATTTCCGTTTTTGTCTGGAATTATCGCAACTTTTATAACTCGACACTTTTTATTATTTGTTTATTTACTTTCCGCACCACGTTCACGCGTTGTCAATCAACTGATTTTAACTGAAGGATTACAAGAGAGAGTATGCATCTGTTTTGCACCAACTGTTATCAGTATGTTATGCCTCAATTGGGGGGTTCAGCGGCGCGCACAACGTTAACCGCCAGCAGATATGCTAATTTGACTATAATGATAAGAGCGTTATCAGTATCAGTTGTACGCCAAACCGCCTATAAGTATGCTAACAAGTATATCAGTTCATTTTGATTATTGAAAAAGCAAATAATTTGGTTAATATTATATTAATTAGACGTCAACAAAGTCAAAACACGGTGTGATTCCCACGACAGCCGGTTCTTKKTTACTGGATTTGATCAGAATTTGTTATTTCAACGATGTAACCCTGTTTGAATCCACCTCGGGTCGGTGTAGTACATGCAATAGAGGGAGTAATATTAAGATCTGCTCAGGCTTTAATGCTACTGCGGCGTAAGCCTCTATGGCTGATCAAAACGTTACATCAGCCAGTGCTAGTTCATTCCGCATACGARCACAATTATTGCAAGCATTATCAASTCGMAAAACGAAGATTATAAYMTTTGGAGAAACTTCCAGCWGCAGGGTTGCACCACGTGCTGGGATTAAGCCTAATTYGGGCCGGAGTAATCTTTCCTCGTTTATTGTAGAAGGCTACATTTAAACTCTACCTTAGGTAGATGTAATACATGCAATGAATGTAGCTACATATCTTAAGCCTTGCGAGAACTACTCAGCAAATTCCTGATTAATCGCAAAGTCTATTCGGAGGAGAAAGTTGAATTTATAAGCCGTAAGCGAGTATCGATAGCGGTGGTCCAAGAAACCATGTTAAACAGCCGCTCAGATCCATGCATGATGTGCWGGTATCAACATTATATGTAGGGAGATAATGGTGTGGGTTTAGCCTTTATAATACACAACACTGTGCAATAACGTGTAATTGGTGGTCATTTCGACCGCAGGGATATTGCCCTTGAATGTCGAGGTATAGCTGTCCGGTCAAGAGTTGTAGATTTTTATTTAATATTTTTAATTAAATTAATTTTTTATTAAATATATACCTCGCTCTGTTACATTTGGAACTGGCGGCACAGATAGACGATCGGTCATTCTGCAAAATGAACGATGAAGCCTTGCTCTCCTGACATTATCATTGTAAGTGGTGGTCTAAAAAAAGTTTARCCTGGGGTCTTATGCAAACCCTCGCTGGTCGCAGCTGCTACGATTGCTTCATTCCGGCTGCAAGAATCGCGGAACATAKCCCCARTTTCCCAGCCGAAGCAGGATCTCAATTTGGAGATTCGGCGATGGGTTAATCAACATAAGCGGACAAATTGGGTAGATCACTTGCGGGCACGAAACCTCTCCACCGGTATGAGGAAGCTTCGCACTGCTGTCAAGGCCTTGTCTAATCCGAAGAAGCATGTTAACCGGGTCGAATTTCAATAGACAAGGCCAAACGATGTGATGAAAGAGGGGTCGCACCCACTAAAACCTGCCAACAAAGGGGGAAATCCCACTCATCTTACACCCTTCTGGACCGATCCCGTCAAACCTAGGACTGTCGTTAGATAATTTTAATGACAACCAACCTGAATATTAATAAAAGCTATAACAACAACAAAAACACAGCGTTTAAGGAATGGTCCTAGGAAAATCAATCCACATTATCAATTTAAACGCATTAGGTTAAATTATGTCAAAATTTTTTCGATATAATCTTTCTGATAAATATTTATTATAACACACAGTGTAATGAATTTTGCCACTATTTGCGACGTACATACATCTTACTAGTTTATAAACCTTATATTGGAAAAAATATTACATATTACATATAAATATACCTAGAATATTATTTTATTTAAGGTTAAGCTTCATTAATACTTAATGAAAATATTAGTCTTTTATACTTTTTTTTTATATAGACTTCGAATTAACCTTTGATTTAGGTCGATAATATGAAAATCATCCTGTTGCACGCAATCAAACCATAAAGTGCTGATGATTTGGTTGATACAAAATTTTTTAAACCACTCATATAACACTTGTGTTAYTTCTCCAACATTCTGTTTATGCACTTTGATTTGCAGTTTTTCATTCATTTTGGTAGCAGACGCCTCAACGCACTTGTCATGTAACGTGCCCGCGCCGCATACTCAATCAATCAAACAACACTTGAATTAGGTTGAAATTGTACCGATGAAATGCTCATCACTTCATTATCTTCACCTTCCACATCCTCTATGCGCACAGCGTCATTAAGTCCACCATCGTCTCCCCCTGAGTTATTAATGTCATCATCGTCGTCATCATCCAGTGTAGGGGTTTTAATGCGATTGCGTATTATAATATCGCGCTCGGTTGATGGTTGCAAATGTAAGGGATTATGTGCTATATCCACAGTATCCATGTCACGACCTTGTAAACCTAATGTCAAATTCACTTTCGATTGCTGCCCCACGGTTAAACCAGTATTTGATGGCATTTTAGGTGTGGTTGCAGGTGGACGCAAACGCGCAGGGTCCAACAAGGAATGCATTTTTGTTTGTTTTTTTGGTGTGCGTGCAGGTGATGTTTTGCGTGAACTGATTAATGATTTTAATTGTTTAGCGCTAAAAAAAAAATTGAGAATTATATAATTTACTGTGCACACTAAATATATATCTCCTTACGCTTCAATTAGTTTGAGTAATAAACGATGATATGCTTCATATTCCTCACTGTCAAATTCATTAGGATCGTGTCGGGCGTGCTCATACATATCGCAAAATTGATGTATCATGCGTTGCTGTCCCGAGCCATTAAGTGTGGTGGCAGCAAGTGTAGTAAGTAGAAAAGCTCGCAAACTGTCGTACGGATGTCGCATGCTACCATCGCTACGCATTATCTCTGTTTCTATAAAAAAATTACGGTTTGTAAAAAAATGCGTATAATTAAATTTTTGCTTACCCAAAATCTTTACATCGTCAACAGCTTTCATGCGATAATAATAAGGTGGTAACGGCTGATCCGTACGCAAAATGTATTTATCATCTGCCCATAGTAACCGCGGCTCTTGTGCAATTTTCTGTATGCAATCTAAACGACGCTCAATCTCTTTGCGTAGTGTCTGAAARATCATGTATTATAAAAGTAAGTATAAATATTTAGTCTATGAATTTAACTGCTCTCGACATACCTTCTTTGCATCATTACCTACGGGTACGTGTGGCCCGCGTCGACTTCTTAGTGTAAAACGCATAATTTGTCGTTTGGCGAAGATGAAAAGCATCACAAAAGTCAGCACTCCGCCTCCTATTATAATGATTATCATAACACCAGATAGTTGCTCCATTTTGTTTCAGTGACTTTTTAATACTGAGTATATTATTTATTTATTTTTATTTATTAATTAATGGCTACAATACTTTTCTTATCTAGTTTGTTTTTATAAAAACAAAAGCACCACCAATAGGTGCAGCAAAACAGCTGTTATTTATCAGTGCCTATTGTGAATGGTTCCAATGATACAGGGTAAGTTTTATTAGTTACAGGTATATAAAATAAGATTTTCAAAATTTGTGGAAATTCGAACATTAAAATAAAACGGCGTGACTTGTCATGTAACGGAATATGGACCAGAAAATGTATTACTTATAAATTTTGTAACAAGAGAGAGTCTCATAGCTCCTTTTTTAGAGACGGAAAATTTACTTTTGCTTAATGGACTATTCACATACAACTTACTTTCGTTTGCTTAGAAATTCATAATGATGCGGGAAAAGAAAAGGGTATGTTAGAATGAACGCTTTGCTTTCAGTATTTCTTTCTAATAAAAATGGGGACTGCTGTTTGGCAAAGTATAAACAGATTGAACGTACTCAAACACAAGCATACATCGAGCTCTCCTGTCAAAGCAAAGCGAGGTAATAATTTTTGACAGCGGACATTACCTGTTGATAGCCTACATGCCACCTATCGGTTAATCACCTTTAAATTATCTCACAACGGTGCCAGAGATTTAAAGTTTCTATAAGTTTCTTAATGCCCAATTGTAAATTCCAACCGAAACTCTAGTGTACATGTGATCATTCAGTATTTCTTGGGATAAACCATCTCAACATCGCTTCTATCGGGCGTATTGTGTGAAAGAATAAAAAGCCCACAGTCAACAAACTGATTGGACCTTATGTGGAAATACGGTAGGACTAAATATCACCGTTATACCGTTAAAAACAACCGTTGTCCTTTTAGTAGGCGAATATCTCTTCCGGGCTGAGATCCATATTACTTGGTGGCAGGGGTTTTTGGGGGGTCTCAAGACGTCAACTTCTGTGGCGCCACATTAGACTCAATCTTACCGTGGAGAAGGTATGTGGATTTAACACTGTCCAAAGCCACCAAGACACTCATGATGCGCAGACGCCTAGCCAGTCTTTGGTAGGTCTCCAACTACCAAAGCTGCAAAGGGTCGCCTGTGTCTGCGCTTCAGGGGTAATGCSCACTTCCCCCATAGCAGCGTTCGAAGTCATGGTGGAGCTCATATCGTTGCATTTAGTAATCAAACATGTAGCGAAACATATCATGTTGCTATTGGCAGCAGAGCGTTTCGGCAAAGGGATAATAATGTCTTCACAGCAAATGAAGACCCTAGTGGAATACACCCTTCTTCCAAGAGACGGCGTTATGAAAAGAATTAACTTTAAAAAGAATTTTAGAGTTACTCTCGGCTGTAAGGCAGAGCGGAATGATTCCACGCTCSACATACTGCTTAGGGGCAGCAAAGGCATTGCGGGACCGCATACCAAACTATCCATACCAATGGGACGTTTTCCAAGCATSTTTCAAGCAGAAGTCTTTACTATAAGTCAACCAGAATACCCCCGTTAGTCCAGCGGCACTAAGGGCGATCTCAGCGTATGAGTTAAATCACTTCTAGTGGAGTAGAGTATAGAAAGGCCGAACCGCCTATCAGGGTGCAACAAAAATTAGGTAGGGGCATTAAGGGGCCGACGAACCAACTAGCTCTGCGGCAGCCTCCAGGATGATGGGGCCAGKACCATGCAATGCAGTGGAATCCTACACTTTAAAGGARCTGCTCCGCACGGAGGAGAGGGTGGGGAGAGATCAGCATTGGYAGGCAGCAGGAATCCGCCATGCTAAGCTATTACTGGTGGGATACAACCTTGCAAGGTTTAAGGAAATTATCAACCTCCCCCGAGWCAGATTCCGCCTCCTTGTCGCGCTTTATACAGGGCACTGCATGCTTAGGAAACGCTTGTCCAACATGGGCACAGTCTCTTGCGCATACTGCCAGTTCTGCGACATGGAACAGAAAACTCCAGAACACCTGATTCTAGATTGCTCGATTTCAAAGCTGTTTTTGACAGCACTAAAGGATCTGTCTTTATGCCGCTATATCTGACTTTGGTATCCCTGCAAAACTAATACGGCTGTGTAAACTGATGTTGAACAATACGAAAAGTTCCGTCAGGATCGGGAACAACCTCTCCAAGCCGTTCCATACCAGACAAGGCGATTACCTATCGTGCGACTTCTTCAATCTACGTCTGGAGAAATAATTCGAGCTGCAGAGCTTCATTGTGCAAGTACARTCTTCTATAAGAGTATACWGCTGATGGCGTACGCCAGTTATATTGATATCGTTGGTCTCAATGCCCACGCCGTTAGTTCTGCTTTCTCCAGACTGGATACGCAAGCAAAGCAAATGGGTCTGGCAGTGAACGACGGCAATGCGAAATGTCTCCTGTCATCGAACCAACAGTCGTCCCACTTGAAACTTGGGTCCTCACTGTTGGCAGTCATAACTTGGAAGTCGTAGACAATTATGTCTATCTTGGAATCAGTATTAACAGCAATAACAATGTCAGCTTTGAAATCCAACGCAGCATCACTCTTGACAATAGGTGCTTCTTTGTACTGATTGGCAATTGAAGAATAAAGTCGGCCCTCGACGAACAAAAACCTAAATCTATGAGTCAGTCATCATACCTGTCCTGCCATATGATGCAGAGGCTTGGACGATGACAACATCTATTAAGTCGGCATTATGGGTTTTCGAGAGAAAGGTTCTGCGGAAGATTTATAGTCCTTTAAGCCTTGCCAATGGCGAATATCGCATTCGATGGAACGATGAGCTGTACGAGTAATAGGACTACATTGATATACATAGTTCAAAAAGTTAAGAGACAGCACCTACGCTGGCTAGATCATGCCGTCCCGAATGGGTGACAACACTCCAACTCTTACTTTCAGAGCTC